TTTTTTACAGCACAGTTGTTCTGAGTGATACGCAACTTAGCAGTGTTGACTTTTCAGTGACGTTTCTGGATGGCTCAAGTGATCAAACACTCTGTACTCCTATTTCCAATAAGAGACGACATGGTATTGGAAGGCGACCATGCCTTTACTGTGGCCATGTTGGTGCAGGGACCCCGCCACATGCTGAAGTTGGTTCGCCATCCTCTACAACAGTTACTATAAAGGATGATGAAAGTAGGTTATTTTTTCTGGGTACAAAATACAATAACATATGTGAATTCATACTTTAAGTACAAAACATCTGCTGAACAACCAGCGATCGACTTCAGTACAAGTAGAAACCCTTCTCATTGTGTACCACTATTTACACTGAATTTGAGTTCCCGTCTTCAGGCCTGCTTATATCAGAGCATCGGTAGACGCTCTATATAGGGATGGCACAGGTGAAATCTCACGTGATCCGCACACGAGAATGACTCACCATGGCTTGAAAATCACTAGCAATAGTCTACAGCCAATATCTAGCTATACATATGCCCCAAGACCTCCTAAGTTCCCCACGAGAGAATTCGCTCTTACGCGATTTTTCGATTTTTGTGTCATCAATCATAACCTTCATCTTCTTCTTCTTCAGACCCGCTATCTCCTTACCGGAAGCAGTTGAAGCGTTGATTTTTTCACAGAACATCTCCCATTTTGCCGGAGGTGTGCACGGATATCAAGCGATCGCTTTTTTTTTGGCCGCAAGTCACTACGGCAGATCGTTGAGCTCTTCCACGGTAGTCACTGAACAACGCCATTTGCTGCTAACTCAGCATCAGTGAGCCGCATGCGCCGAGCTAGGGTGCGGTGCGCTCGCATTACTGGCTGGTTCACGAGAATAAGCCAGGATGCCTGTAGAGGAACTCTCATCCTCCAGTGCCTTCTGTAAGTCAGTATACGCATTTCTAACTGGCTAGCTTGCTTTTTGCTGTTGATTTGCACGAGGAGCAGTCTGCGCCGGGTTACGCGAGCCTTACGGGGCACACAAATGAGCCTTCATTCTTGGTCCCCCAGGTTATAGCTATCATTGTAGTCTGATTACTGAAGCCTGCCCATGACACCACCACCGTGTGCCACAACCTAATTGCGTCCTTGTTGGAGACACTACCCATACACCCTGCTTCAGGTGCAGCAGCCATTAGCTACTGCTTTCATCAGTTATCTCTACAACATACCCATAACATCAGAGTGACTGAAAATGCAGTGTTGTCATAAGCAGTTAAATATAGTTGAAACAAGTGGAAAAATCATTTCTTCAAAATGAAGGGGGATATAGGGAAGGCTTGAAGCACCAAAAAGGAAGAAACAAGGGTCATTACACAGCAAAGATGCACAAAGCCACACGACACCATCCATATATCTTTGTTTCACATGTGGCTTTGTGCATCTCTGCTGTGATACATGCACTGTTGTCAAGATACATAAATAAATTCTTCTAATCTTCAGATGGGAGAAGACAGATGTATATAGTTTGACAGCTACACGCATGATAACAATGACCCATTATCTCCCCTATTCTAGACCCCAACAGAATTGGTCTGAAGCACTCAGAACAGCAGGCTACTATAGAGTAAAAGTTGAAAAATCATTTCTTCAAAATGAAGGGGGATATAGGGATGGCTTGAAGCACCAAAAAGGAAGAAACAGGGGTCATTACACAGCAAAGATGCACCAAGCTACATGACACCATCCCTATATCTTCGTGTAATGACCCTTGTTTCTTCCTTTTTGGTGCTTCAAGCCATCCCTATATCCCCCTTCATTTTGAAGAAATGATTTTTCAACTTTTACTCTATAGTAGCCTGCTGTCTGAGTGCTTCAGACCAACTCTGTTGGGGTCTAGAATAGGGGAGATAATGGGTCATTGTTATCATGCGTGTAGCTGTCAAACTATCAGAGAGTCGGTAGACTCTCTATATAGGGATGACACGGGTGAAATCTCACGTGATCCGCGTACAAAACGACTAAAAACTCGCTGAGAATCACTCCCTAGGCCTTCAAAACATACTAGCAATAGTCTACGGGCACATATCTACCTATACATGTCCCCCAAGACCTCATACCCACCTTCAGTCGTCCACGCGAGAATTCGCTCTTACGCGATTTCACGATTTTGGTGTCATCATATTCTTCTTCTTCTTCTTCTTCTTCTTCTTAGACCCGCTTTCTCCTTACTGGAACAAGTTGAAGCGCTAATTTTTTCACTGAACGTCTCCAATTTCGCCCGAGGTGTGCACGGACATCAAGCGATCGGTTCTTTCTCGCCGCTAGTCACTACGGTAGATCATGGAGCTCTTCCAAGGTCGACACTGAACAACGCCATTTGCTGCTAACTCAGCATCAGTGAGCCGCGCGCATGCGCCAGGCAGGGGCGTTGTCCACCACATGCGCTTGCGAGCGTATACCAGGCGAGTTGGCAGACCTGCAGAGGAACTGTCAGCCTCCAGTATATACCTTCTGTAAGTAAGTGTGCACATTTGCAACTGGCTAGCTTGCTGTTGATTTGCACGAAGAGCAACTTGCCAGAGTCTGCGCGGTGTTACGCGAGCCTTGCGGGGCGTCCAGTCCATCGGCCCCCAAGGTTTGTAGCCTGATTACCAAAGCCTGCCCATGAAACCACAACCATGTGCAATAATCTAATTACATCCGTGTTGAAGACGAGGTGAATGTGGTATCCAGCCCCTGCTTCAGGCACTAGCAGCCCCATTAGCTACTACTACAGTTACAATTTGTCTATAGTAGCCTATCTACAACATACCCATGAACATCAGAGTGACTGTAGCAATAAATGCAGTGTTGTCATAAGCTGTTAAAAATAATGGAAACAAGTGGAAAAATCATTTCTTCAAAATGAAAGGGGGATATAGGGATGGCTTGAAGCACCAAAAGGAAGAAACAAGGGGTCATCACACAGCAAAGTTGCACAAAGCTACATGACACCATCCCTATATCGTTGTTTTATTGTTTATAAGCAAAGTTTAATATCGAACAAAGATATAGGGATGGTGTCATGTAGCTTTGTGCAACTTTGCTGTGTGATGACCCCTTGTTTCTTCCTTTTTGGTGCTTCAAGCCATCCCTATATCCCCCTTTCATTTTGAAGAAATGATTTTTCCACTTGTATACATCTGTCTTCTCCCATCTGAAGATTAGAAGAGTTTAAAATTGTGCATGTATCTTGACAACAGTGCATGTATCTGATACGTGCAACAGAGGAAGGCTAGCATAACACGTTCATGCAATTTTTTTCTGCAGGGGGAGTGGTTCAAGTTACAGCTCTCACTCTCAGTATTGCTGAAGGGAATATGGCTCCTTACTGCATTGAACTGATTGGCACAACTGGCTCTCCAAATATGCTGGAGAGTCCCCTGACAGTTACCTTTTCAATTACCAATGACAATGCAGGTATTGTGGCTGGATACTGTGCTATCCCTAGCTGGTAATTAGGTTTACAAGTGGGGAGTATGTGATTACTGTTTAGGTATTAGTTAAAACACCTCATTGAGGAATCTGGCTGGAATACACGCAGGAAGCCTGAGTGAGTGTGTGTATACTGCAAGATCAAGAAAATGGGGTGTTTTGAGTGGTTTATAGCCTGTGGTCCAAATGTTATTTGCAGTTTCAAGTGAGTTGGCTAGGGCCTTCCAATTCGGTAATTACTGACTGCTGTGCTTGTGACAGGTGAAAATCGATTCACGTGCATCTCAATAATGGTGATTAGCAACATCTTTCACAGTGTTGTTTTGTTATCTTTTGCAGTGGCTGATGACTATACTCTGACGCCAGCAGCTGCAACATCCGTCACAATTTTAGCAGGAGCTATACCCAGTTCAGATTGTGTGACTGTGGATGCAGTTGATGACCTCTTTGTAGAGGGAGCTGAACGCTTTACTTTTACCATTACTTCGGATGATCAAGATGATGTCACCATTTCAGTACCATCATCAACCACTCTAGTGACCATTCCAGCTAATGATGGTACATTGTCTGTTATTTTTGGTCGGACTATAAACATGGGCTATGGGCTATTTAACGATCGATGTCATTAGAAGTGGGAACTAACTTCTGAGTAGCACCTTAGTGTTAAGCTCTTTGTAGAGCAGGCTCTGGAGTTATGAGAGGGTATGACATTGAGTGTGTAAGTTTAGCACTTATACTTCTGTGCTTATGATCTATCACCAACTGGTTCATTCATTGTGAGCCATAGAGAGAGTTGTGTATTTGCTGTTTTCCTCCAATGCAGGTGGAGCTGGAGTGGCCGGGTTTATGTTCTTTGATCCCACTCTAAACGTATCTGAATCGGACACTACTAACCCATTAATGCTGTGTGTAGAACTGAACCTCACGGCAGCAGGTGCCAGTCTGGGATGTGATACAACTGTCACTGTCGATATCCTGGATGGAACTAATGCAGGTGAGAGACTTTGGGAAGACTGAGTACCCTTATGATAATCGCCTCAGTAGACCTTTCTGATTGTTCATTTCCTGTGATTGGCGCTTAAATTCTTAAAGATCGTAATACATGCAGTAGAAATGCAAGCGTAAGTTTTTACATGCCAACCAGTTTGGGTTCTTTATGTTTACGTAGATAAATCTGTACATTGGTAGTGTAGCATTTGTGATCTGCCAGGATCTAGTTAGCCAGCGTGCTCGACGTATTACTCCATTATATTGGGAATAAAACACGTGATAGTCAATGACGTCACCAATATGACATAATGGTTAGTAGCTACTCTGGAATCCACGGAGTCTCTAGTCCAGTGATACTATGTACCACAGGTAGATAAGTTGATTGTCACATTCACTGCCTTTGACTCTGTCTCCTCTCTCAGATAATGGTGTTGACTTTATGGTCGATGATCCTGCAATGGTCACATTTGACGAGGGAGCAGTCGATGGAGACACTGAATGCATCAGTATTTCTATTCTTAACGACAATGATTTTGAGAACGACCATTCATTTGAAGCTGAAATTATGGCTGTTTCTCCAGCCGATAAGCCAACATTTCTCGATAGTACTCTTGCAACTATTCTGATTCAAGACAATGATGGTAAGGGGGATTAATTTCTAGATGTAAGTTAATGCATGAACTTTTTAGTTTGGGGAAATGGTATATCTGAAATTGCACTGCAAAATTGTTTGTGACACTGCGGAGATCTTGCTCAGCTCAAAGATCTCTTATTACCTATCATGCCCAGAGACACTGAATTGCATATCCCCAACAACAATTATTCAGAGACACAGAATGAGGGGAGAAAGGTCGTAGTGATAGGTTCAATGCAGTGTAATGAGTGCCTGCAGTAAACTCGGAATCTTCAGTGAGAAATGTTCGTGGTCAGCAGTCAGCCTCTAATGGTGTGTATGTTGGGTCGGAATGCTCACACACTGGGCCAGACAACTTTCCAGCGGGTGCTTACAAATGTTCACTACTACAATTAGATTTCTGCTACAGAAATATATGTGTTGACCCTTCTGTCCCCTGCAGATGCTACTGTGTCACTGAATATGGCTGCATACACTGGAACTGAAGGAGACACCACATTTGGTGATGTCTGCGTGCAAGTACTTCTTACTGGAGCTATTCAGGCCAACTTGAGTGTCACACTTGCTACTACAACTGGGTCTGCAGGTTAGTTATGATTGCAGGATATTTCAAGAAACCATCATTACTTCTCTGCTCTTGATATGTTTAGTTGGTGCTGACTTCACTCTGACTACATCAACTGTCATGTTTACCTCTGGTAATACTGGTGGAGACACTTTGTGCTTTGCAATCAGTCTCTCTGATGACCTCATACTGGAAAATGACGAATTGTTTACTGTGAGCATTTCTGACTTTGGAGGAGCCGGCCAGGGAGCCATTACATCAGCACCTGTTACTATTGACGACAATGATGGTTCGTTACTATGCTTTGAAGCAATACGTTACGGGGAACAACAAATTAACCACTTATCACACCAGGAGTAACAAATAACCAGTTAGCTGTGCAACCCCCCTCATGTTACTCTATAATTTGCGCCTTGCAGAGGGATAACATTGATTAAGCTCTGTATAGTAAAGATAAGATCTATAACGACATACCTCACTAACAGCAGTACAAAAGAAGACTTACACTCCTTGGGAAAAACTGATCAGTTGCCAGTAGCCTTGCTCATTTCTGTATACTACAGCCATGCACATTTTTGAGACAAAAAGGGATAGCTGCTGTTTCTGCATGCACCAGCTCCTTCTGAACTAACACTTCTGCTACATGTGTGATGCCTGTCTTCATGGTTTCTTACTGAATGGATAATCACAAACACTATTGCTTGGCATATTGTGGGATCTAGCACAACCATGCTCTTTACATTTTCTGTGTGAATACTCACTTGTTTTTGTATAGTGTGCATAGCACAAGTGTTTGTATAATGTTTTTCAACAGCGGGAGAGGTTCAAGTTACAGCTTCCACTCTCAGTATTGCTGAAGGGGGTAATGATGTTTTCTGCATTGGACTGATTGGTACAACTGGCGCTCCAAATATGCTGGCCAGTGACCTGACAGTTACCTTTTCAATTACCAACGACAATGCAGGTATTGTGGCTGGATACTGAGCTAGCCCTAGTTTCCTGGTGTATTGTTTACACAAGTAGGGATTACATGTAGTAATAGCTACTGTTTATTAACCCTCGGCACGCATGCGCAGCGAGGGTTACAGTACTTGGTTTGTCCGTCTGTCTGTCTGTTACCACGTTTTCTGCCACCACGCGCAACAAACAGGTAAAATAGCGACACCAACGGGTTCAGCGCTACACAGGCTTGATTTTAAAAATGGCGATTTTCGTAAAAGTGCCGCGTTCAGCGTGAAAACCAAGTGAACAAGCCAATATGCTAATTAGCACGGGCTTACCCCGACCTGATCCGCTTGCTCTGTGTACCTCGGAGGCACAAGAAGCCACAACGAAGGGCGTGTATCGACTCCCGCATGCTATCTACTACTGTAGCTAGCCTGTGTCACACTCTCCGCGAGCTACTAGCGGGAGATCACGCGAGTAAATAGGCCCAGCCCATCAATTAGCGGTACCGAGCATGCCCAGTTCGCCGAGGGTTTGCACTTCAGTGCTTTTTCATGTTTTAATGGTAGCTAACATAATGTGGATATGTACTTGAACACGCAGTATGTCAGTTCTTAACAGATCTTTCCCATTGCTGTCAGTTTCTGTAATACTGAGTATGTGAGGTGGGAGCATTGTTAGTAAGATATTTTATCTGTGTGCTGTGTTAGTTTCAAGTGAATTGGCTTTGGCAAACCAGCACCTTCGAATTACTAATCAGTCAGACTGCTTTTCAGGTGAAATAGATTCACGTGCATCTCAATAATGGTATGTGTAGCAACATCTTTCACAGTGTTGTTTTGTTATCTTTTGTAGTGGCTGCTGACTATACTCTGACGCCAGCAGCTGCAACATCCGTCACAATTTCAGCAGGAGCTATACCCAGTTCAGATTGTGTGACTGTGGATGCAGTTGATGACCTCTTTGTAGAGGGAGCTGAACGCTTTACTTTTACCATTACTTCGGATGATCAAGATGATGCCACCATTTCAGTACCATCATCAACCACTCTATTGACCATTCCAGCTAATGATGGTACATTGTCTGTTATTTTTGGTCGGACTATAAACATGGGCTATGGGCTATTTAATGATCGATGTCATTAGAAGTGGGAACTAACTTCTGAGTAGCACCTTAGTGTTAAGCTCTTTGTAGAGCAGGCTCTGGAGTTATGAGAGGGTATGACATTGCATATTATGAGTGTGTAAGTTTAGCACTTATACGTCTGTGCTTATCATCTATCACCAACTGGTTCATTCATTGTGAGCCATAGAGAGAGTTGTGTATTTGCTGTTTTCCTCCAATGCAGGTGGACCTGGAGTGGCCGGGTTTATGTTCTTTGATACCACTCTAACCGTATCTGAATCGGACACTACCAACCCATTAATGCTGTGTGTAGAACTGGACCTCACGGCAGCAGATGCCAGTCTGGGATGTGATACAACTGTCACTGTCGATATCCTGAATGGAACTAATGCAGGTGAGAGACTTTGGGAAGACTGAGTACCTTATGATAATCGCCTCAGTAGACCGTTCTGATTGTTCATTTCCTGTGATTGGCGCTTAAATTCTTAAAGATCGTAATACGTGCAGTAGAAATGCAAGCGTAAGTTTTTACATGCCAACCAGTTTGGGTCCTTTATGTTTACGTAGATAAATGTGTACATTGGTAGTGTAGCATTAGTGATCTGCCAGGATCTAGTTAGCCAGCGTGCTCGACGTGTTACTCCATTTTGTTTGGAATGAAACGCGTGATAGTCAATGATGTCAGCATGATTACATAACAGATAGTAGCTACTATAGAATCCGCAGAGTCCAGTGGTACTATAATTATACCACAGGTAGAAAAGTTGATTGTCACATTCACTGCCTTTGACTCTGTCTCCTCGCTCAGTTAACGGTGATGACTTTATGGTCAATGATCCTGCAATTGTCACATTTGACGAAGGAGCAGGGGATGGAAGCAGTAAATGCATCAATATTTTTGTTCTTAACGACGATGATTTTGAGAACGACCATTCATTTCAAGCTCAACTTATGGCTATTTCTCCATCCGATAAGCCAATGTTTCTCGATACTACTCTTGCAACTATTCTGATTCAAGATAATGATGGTAAGATATGTAATAGTGATGTGAACAACTATTCCTTACATATCTGAAGGTGGGGGGGGGCTCCACGTTTTTGATGGAGGAGGGGGGGTGAGGGAAATGGTCTTAATGATAGACTTTAGAGCAGCCGTGACGTCAGACATGTGAAAAAGCCCCAGATTTGAATTTATGAACACTCTCTCTCCCCAGATGCTACTGTGTCACTGAATATGGCCACATACACTGGAACTGAAGGAGACCCCACATTTGGTGATGTCTGTGCAGTAGCAGTGCTCTCTGGAGCTGGTGGAAGTTTTGAGGCTGATTTGGTGGTCACACTTGGTACTTCAGACGGCTCAGCAGGTCAGAATCTGTGATTTCTGCAGGAATTGGTTGTTATGTCTCTTTACCTGATACAGAGAGTGCTAGTGACTTCACTCTAACCACGTCAATGGTCACCTTTGGCTCTGGAGATAGCTCTGGGAGCTCCAAGTGTTTTGCGTTCAATCTGATCGATGATATGATACTGGAAAATGATGAGGTATTTGGTGTGGAAATAACAGGTGCTGGAGGAGCTAGTTTTGGAGCTCCATCAACAGCAGTTGTTACAATTGAAGACAATGATGGTTAGTATGAGTACATGCAGAGATAACATCATCATAATTATACATGCAAAGTTTTTTTTGCTTTGAAACAACATAATACGGGGAACAACAAGCTTTAAAAATTAACCACTTATCACACCAGGAGTAACAAATAACCAGTTAGCTGTGCAACCCCCCTCATGTTACTCTATAACTTGCGCCTTGCAGAGGGATAACATTGATTAAGCTCTGTATAGTAAAGGTAAGATCTATAACGGCATACCTCACTAACAGCAGTACAAAAGAAGACTTACACTCCTTGGGAAAACTGATCAGTTGCCTTGCTAATTTCTGTATACTACAGCCATGCACATTTTTGAAGAAAAAAGGGATAGCTGCTGTTTCACATTTTCTGTGTGAATACGCACTTGTTTTTGTATAGTTCACATAGCACAAGTGTTTGTATATATTTTTTCAACAGCGGGAGAGGTTATGGCAGTTATGACTGGTCTCAGTATTGCTGAGGGGAGTAATGATGATTTCTGCATTAGACTGATTGGCACAACTGGCTCTCCAAATATGCTGGCCAGTAACCTGACAGTTACCTTTTCAATTACCAACGACAATGCAGGTAGTGTGGCTGGATACTGTGCTAGCCCTAGTTTCCTGGTGTATGGTTTACAAGTAGGGATTACATGTAGTAATAGCTACTGTTTATGTTTTAATGGTGACGTAATGTGGATATGTACTTGAACACACAGTATGTCAGTTCTTAACAGATCTTTCCCATTGCTGTCAGTTTCTGTAATACTGCGTATGTGAGGTGGGAGCATTGTTAGTAAGATATTTTATCTGTGTGCTGTGTTAGTTTCAAGTGAATTGGCTTGGGCAAACCAGCACCTTTGAATTATTAATAAATTAGGTAATTACAGACTGCTTTTCAGGTGAAAATCTTTATAATAGAATCACGTGCATCTGAATAATGGTGTGTAGCAACATCTTTCACGGTGTTGTTTTGTTATCTTTTGTAGTGGCTGATGACTATACTCTGACGCCAGCAGCTGCAACATCCGTCACAATTTTAGCAGGAGCCATACCCAGTTCAGATTGTGTGACTGTGGATGCAGTTGATGACCTCTTTGTAGAGGGAGCTGAACGCTTTACTTTTACCATTACTTCGGATGATCAAGATGATGTCACCATTTCAGTACCATCATCAACCACTCTAGTGACCATTCCAGCTAATGATGGTACATTGTCTGTTATTTTTGGTCGGACTATAAACATGGGCTATGGGCTATTTAACGATCGATGTCATTAGAAGTGGGAACTAACTTCTGAGTAGCACCTTAGTGTTAAGCTCTTTGTAGAGCAGGCTCTGGAGTTACGAGAGGGTATGACATTGCATATTATGAGTGTGTAAGTTTAGCACTTATACTTCTGTGCTTATGATCTATCACCAACTGGTTCATTCATTGTGAGCCATAGAGAGAGTTGTGTATTTGCTGTTTTCCTCCAATGCAGGTGGACCTGGAGTGGCCGGGTTTATGTTCGTTCTTCCCACTCTAACCGTATCTGAATCGGACACTACTAACCCATTAATGCTGTGTGTAGAACTGGACCTCACGGCAGCAGATGCCAGTCTGGGATGTGATACAACTGTCACTGTCGATATCCTGGATGGAACTAATGCAGGTGAGAGACTTTGGGAAGACTGAGTACCTTATGATAATCACCTCAGTAGACCGTTCTGATTGTTCATTTCCTGTGATTGGCGCTTAAATTCTTAAAGATCGTAATACGTGCAGTAGAAATGCAAGCGTAAGTTTTTACATGCCAACCAGTTTGGGTCCTTTATGTTTACGTAGATAAATCTGTACATTGGTAGTGTAGCATTCGTGATCTGCCAGGATCTAGTTAGCCAGCGTGCTCGACGTATTACTCCATTTTGTTGGGAATAAAACACGTGATAGTCAATGACGTCACCATGATGACATAATGGTTAGTAGCTACTATGGAATCCACAGAGTCTCTAGTCCAGTGATACTATGTACCACAGGTAGATAAGTTGATTGTCACATTCACTGCCTTTGACTCTGTCTCCTCTCTCAGATAATGGTGTTGACTTTATGGTCAATGATCCTGCAATGGTCACATTTGACGAGGGAGCAGTCGATGGAGAGACTGAATGCATCAGTATTTCTATTGTTAACGACGATGATTTTGAGAACGACCATTCATTTCAAGCTCAACTTATGGCTGTTTCTCCAGCCGATAAGCCAACATTTCTCGATAGTACTCTTGCAACTATTCTGATTCAAGATAATGGTGGTAAGGGGATTAATTTCTAGATGTGAGTTAGTGCATGAACGTTTTAGTTTGTGGAAATTTTATATCTGAAAAATTGCACTTCAAAATTGTTTGTGACACTGCGGAGATCTTGCTCAGCTCAAAGGTCTCTTATTAGCTATCATGCTCAGAAACACTGGATTGCATATCCCCAACAACAATTATTCAGAGACACAGAATGAGGGGAGAAAGGTCGTAGTAATAGATTCAATGCAGTGTAATGAGTGCCTGCAGTAAACTCGGAATCTTGAGTGAGAAATGTTCGTGGTCAGCAGTCAGCCTCTAATGGTGTGTATGTTGGGTCGGAATGCTCCCACACTGGGCCAGACAACTTTCCAGCGGGTGCTTACAAATGTTCACTACTACATTTAGATTTCTGCTACAGAAATACCTGTGTTGACCCTTCTGTCCCCTGCAGATGCTACTGTGTCACTGAATATGGCCACATACACGGGAACTGAAGGAGAAATCACATTTGGTGATGTCTGTGCAGTAGCAGTGCTCTCTGGAAGTTTTGAGGCTGATTTGGTGGTCACACTTGGTACTTCAGACGGCTCAGCAGGTCAGAATCTGTGATTTCTACAGGAATTGGTTGTTATGACTCTTTACCTGATACAGAGAGTGCTAGTGACTTCACTCTAACCACGTCAATGGTCACCTTTGGCTCTGGAGATAGCTCTGGGAGTTCCAAGTGTTTTGTGTTCGATCTGACCGAAGATACTGATACTGGAAATGTGATGAGGAATTTGATGTGGAAATAACAGGTGCTGGAGGAGCTAGTTTTGGGAGCTCAATCAACAGCCAGTTGTTACAATTGAAGACAATGATGGTTAGTATGAGTACATGCAGAGATAACATCATCATATATACATGCAAAGTTTTTTTTGCTT